AAAACGAGAAAAATAGGCTTTAGGAACCGAAACCAAGATGAGAGGCTTCTTAGGCGAGGACCGACCCTCTGTTGGCTTCTTAGGCGAGGACCGAGCCTCTGGTGGCTAAAGCACGCGAGGACCGAGCCTCTGGTGGCTAATGCACGCGAGGACCGAGCCTCTGGTGGCTAATGCATGCGAGGACCGAGCCTCGGTCTCTGTCGCTACCCCGCCTTTCTGTCTCGCTCGGTCTCTGTCTCTCTCTATTCCCTTCTCTCGCTCGGCCTCTGTTCCTTCTCTCGCTCTGTCTCGCGCCCCTCTGTTCTCCCTCTCCCTCTCGGTTCCTTCCTTTCTCTCTTCTTCCCTCTCGGTTCTGCCTCCCTCTCTCTCTCGGTTCAGCACCAGAAGGCCGAGCCTCGGCCAGAATTCGCATTTTTGTCACTTTTAGCCCATTTTTGATATTTTTAACATTTTAAGCCCGTTTTTCGTGATTTTAAAGCGGGATTTTCTCCAGAAATTATATTTTAACATAATAAACCCTAAATATTCATAATTTAAACATATTATGATGAAAATCATTATTTAAATAATAAAAATCAAATGGGTGAATTATTAAAGGTGGAGTGTTGACTTTGCCTTATCCAATGTCACAAGCAACCACCCCACACCCACTCTATGACCAGCCATACCTCCCCACCTTACCTAGGTCACTTCAATGTCCCTCACACCCAATTTACACTCATTCCCACGTTTTTGAGCTGGAACAAACATCCTCTCTCCTCATTTTTCTCATTTTCTCCCATTTCACTAAGTATCAAACATCACTTTTCTCTCAAACTCCTTCTCCACCAAACTCGAGATTCAAGGCTGATTATCAAGTGTTCTTCCATTCTTAGTAAGTATAATTCATCCTCCTTATGATTATCTCACTTATTTCCACTCAAATCATGGATATCTTACACAAACTCCATCATATTAGCGTTAGAGCTTCGAATCTTCAAGTGATTCTTCAAGTGTTCTTGGGTTGAACACTTCTCTTCTTCAACACTTATCTACTGAAATCACTCAAGGTGAGTTCATACCCCTACATTTTCATGTTATCTCAAGTTTTCAGGGGGGGAATACAAGTTAAAACACTAAGAACATAACTAAATTTTTCTAACAACCTTCATCAGAAAAGTTCAACTCCATTCACGGACTGTTTTGGGCATCTTAAACATTTTTGTTTTCAAAACTGTACAACGTGCAAATAGTTCAAGTTTTTAGCTTTAAAATGGCTACTTGCACAACTCCATACGATTTTTCTACAATTTATGGTGATTTTTACAAAACTGCCTATCATTTCAAACAACAATCCGGACCAGTCTGTGATTTTGGACTTTTTCACCCAAGTTGGAGGTCATTAAAAATCGTGATAAAAATTATGAGTAAACTAGACACATTTTGTGAACTCTCAGAATTTACGGATCTAGTTTTCGACTTCGTATGATTTTTCTATGATTTTTCCAAAACAGGGCAGAATTGCTAAATTTAGCCAACAGCATGTAAATATCATAACACTTTGTATTATGTTGAGCAAAGTGTGTAATCATAAGTTCTAATTTTTGAATGTGTTTCTTTGCTAGTTTATCATTATGAACTGAAACTAAGTCATTCATACTAAATATTATTCATTCATTTAGAACACGTATTATGTAACTATAAAAGTATAGTTTGATAAATTCACAACACTAATACATTTCCATAAAAGAATTCATACATATTAGATACATTTTAGATAAACTATAATAGGTATAGTTTATGATACATCACTCAACACACTCTATACAAAAAGGGGTACAAATACAAAGTACCGGGTCTCTATACAAAAAGGGGTACAAATACAAAGTACCGGGTTTCTATACAAAAAGGGGTACAAATACAAAGTACCGGGTCTCTATACAAAAAGGGGTACAAATACAAAGTACCGGGTCTCTATACAAAAAGGGGTACAAATACAAAGTATCGGGTCTCTATACAAAAAGGGGTACAAATACAAAGTACCGGGTCTCTATACAAAAAGGGGTACAAATACAAAGTACCGGGTCTCTATACAAAAAGGGGTACAAACAAAGTACCGGGTCTCTATACAAAAAGGGGTACAAATACAAAGTACCGGGTCTCTATACAAAAAGGGGTACAAATACAAAGTGTCGGGTCTCTATACAAAGTTATTATGATATTAAAATTATACTTCCTCTAGAATGGTTAGACTTCAACTATAGTCGCTGAGCGTATATGTTTGAGTCATATAAGAATTTAGTCTTGATTGGCCTAGAATTGGTGGTGCCCGCCTCATCTCCTGTTCCTCGTTGGGTTGTGGACCTAGGGCAGACCCACTATATTCAACGTTTTATCTAATTTAAACCTTATATAACTTTTATACGCTGGACGATTATAGAGGAACTCTACGGGTTACTCTAGGGTTCATTAATGCATCATGTAGGAATATTTCTATTCACACTTAACTAAGAAAATATTGGATTTTCTAGAAATCAAACTATTTTTCATCTAAAATTGTTAGACTTCAACTATAGTCGTTGAGCGTATATGTTTGAGTCATATAAGAATTTAGTCTTGATTGGCCTAGAATTGGTGGTGCCCGCCTCATCTCTTGTTCCTCGTTGGGTTGTGGACCTAGGGCAGACCCACTATATTCAACGTTTTATCTAATTTAAACCTTATATAACTTTTATACGTTGGACGATTATAGAGGAACTCTACGGGTTACTCTAGGGTTCATTAATGCATCATGTAGGAATATTTTTATTCACACTTAACTAAGAAAATATTGGATTTTCTGGAAATCAAACTATTTTTCATCTAAAATTGTTAGACTTCAACTATAGTCGCTGAGCGTATATGTTTGAGTCATATAAGAATTTAGTCTTGATTGGCCTAGAATTGGTGGTGCCCGCCTCATCTCCTGTTCCTCGTTGGGTTGTGGACCTAGGGCAGACCCACTATATTCAACGTTTTATCTAATTTAAATCTTATATAACTTATATACACTGGACGATTATAGAGGAACTCTACGGGTCATTCTAGGGTTTATTAATGCATCATATAGGAATATTTCTATTCATACTTAACTAAGAAAATATTGGATTTTCTGGAAATCAAACTATATCGATTTTACAAGGAAAAGCAGTTTCTACTTCAAACAAAACTCTAATGAACTCACCAACCTTTGTGTTGACACTTTTTAAAACTACTTGTATTCTCAGGAAATCAGTGAAACAGGAAAACTTCATCGCTTTGAGGATGGGACGTTAAATCGTCAACAATTTATTTTGTCATCATAATGTAATTGCTTTTGAAACATGTAAACATATACTTTGGTGTAACTTTTGCAATTATATATATGGTGGTTGTTTTTACTTTGAGCACTATTATACACGTTGTTGTGATACTGTACATGAAGTCCTCCACCCCAGACGTTTCCGCCATCCTTGGTTTGGGGGTGTGACAGTGGTTGACCTTGAGAAAATCTGTCCCGCAATCATATCACGTACTGCACACATATACATATCCTCAGTTCTACGTTGTGTACTTGATACTTCGTCATGTGGCTCAATACCATTATTGGGTCCTTCGTCATTGCGCGGAATATAAGATTCCTCTTGCGCTATTTGAAATGTTGCATCACCACTACCGCTCATTCTAATGTAATTGTGAATCGCCATTGAAGCTAGCACAATTTTAACTTGGGTCTCGAAGTCGAAATTTACATGCATATCTCTTAGTAACACCCATCGAGCCTTCCAGACTCCAAAAGTCCGTTCAATTATATTGCGAAGTGACGAATGATAATAGTTAAATTTTTCTTTGAAGCCTTTTGGTTCCCGCGAGGCAGAAGTCTGTCCACGTCGAAAATCGGGAATATGATAACGGATGTTTGAACCTTTATACGGAGCAAGATAACCTTTTGTATTAGGATATCCGGCGTCTACAAGGTAATACTTACCTATACATGTACAAATAAAGCATATGATTGTTATTCATTTATACCGTTTGAAAATACAAAACTTCTATTAATAAGTAATGATACTAACCATCCGCTGGAAGTGGAAACTTAACTTCACGTCTCCTTCGCGCTTCATTGAAAATTCTCGTATCATGTGCAGTCCCCTCCCATCCAGCCCACGCAAAGGTAAAGCACATGTTGAAATCACACGCTGCCATAATATTTTGAGTAACGCAATTCTTTCGCCCAATGAATTTGATTTGTTCATGTTGCGGAACAGAGGCCTTCACGTGTGTTCCATCGATGGCACCAATACAATCCTACAATTTCAAATAATATAACAAGTTAGCAATTATTTTTACAAGAACACAAATTCACCAAATAACATAACTTTGCAACTAAGTAACTACCTTAAAGTACGGATAATACCGAGGGTTATTTAAAATATGTTCTGGTATAGCTTCGTTGTAGTTAGCATTTGGTTTGATGATGTCCTTACTTAGGTTAACCACAGCATCCAAGACTTTATGAAAATGCCTATGGATTGTTTCTCCAGAATGATTAAAGAACTCTTGAACTAACCGATTTCCACATCCATGCGCTAAGTACAACAAGAAAATACCAAGGGACTCTTCAATAGGTACACGACGTGATTTCTTTAACCCATAATGTGCAACAAGATCCCTACATAACATGTTGAAAACCGGGACTTCTAATCTGAAAAGTTGATAACATCGGCTCTCATGATCGTTAAGTATTTCATTGATAAGCATGCTTCCTGTGCGTGTAGATGAACGACGACGTCTACGCACGTTTTTCGATTTCTTAGTCAATAGTAACCCTTTGACAACAAGGCCGCATAAAAGAAGTGTTTGAATCTCCTCATTTTCTTCAATTTCATCACATAAGTCATCACTGTCATATGAGTTGTCACTTTCACAGTCACTGGCCATGAATATAACCTATTACTAACGAAAAGGATACAAGGGTAAGATTGAACTTTACCACATACTAGATAAAATCATAGCAACATCATTGAAAAGAAAAGAACAGTAAAATCATGGGGCAAGCGCAAAATTGACCACAAAACAAACATCAAACGATATTGCATAAAACACACACAAAACAACCATTTAAATTTAACATAATAGTTGAAAGAATAAGTCTGACACATAACAACCATTTAAAGTTTACCCAATAGATAAAAGCATAGAAAAGGAAACAAAACATAACCATGTGGCAAGGGCAAAACTGACCAAAAAAATTAGAGAATGTCTAACACATGACATAAAAGGATAAGTCTAACACTACTTCTCTTTCTCTATAAGCCTCTTGAGAAACTCCATCTTTGTTTCATTACTCTTTGGAACCATAAAATTTTGACGAGTTGGTTTCTTTAAAAAGACCTCTAACGCTTCTAAATATCCTATTGAGCCTTCTTCAAAACCCGGGAAAGTAGAGACAATTGCCATGCATTCTTCTGTTGTGGGAGATTGTGTGGTTTGTCTTGATGGTTGAATGCTCCTTGTTAACAGAACATCAAAAACAGTGTCCAGTTTCTCTTCATATGACGAGTTTGCCATATTCTTTCCTTCACTATTTTCTTCATTTTTTCCTTCATTTTTTCCTTCAAATTTTCTTTTCTTGTTACGCCTGGGAGTTAATTTCTTTCCCCTCCTATTCATACTAGAACTATCCATTGTGAAAAAAGGATCAACATCATCAAATAAGAGGACGTCATCAGTATCCTCTTTTCCATCCGTAATATCCACAAGTTGTACATCATTCGGAGTGCTATTGTCGCCAAATTCGCAAGGTACCTTAGCCTTATCTCCAATAGTTACAGTATCCCGAAATAAAGCCTCATAATATGTCTGATATACATCCAAATTCTTATCCTTAAACTTAGCAAACTCTTTATCTTCCTATATGTACAAATGTAGAATGTCATGAAAAACACAATACAAATAATATATTATTAGATAAAAAATTTAATTCTTACCTTTATTTTATCATCCCACCATTCCTTTGATGCGGAGATTGTATTTTTCACGGGATCAATTGAAATTCCCGTTTCTAGTCTTGTTAAACGGTCGTAATATTTGAACTCTTTCCGTATTATGTCCCATTTGTTTTTCATTTGATTTCTGTCCAATTCTTTACCCGTTCGTTCCAAAAGCCTCTTACATATATTTTGGCACACGGGCGCTTTGAAATAACTACTCGCTCTATACCCGTTTTTTAGCTCGGTCATACATTCCTCAAGAAATATCTTGAATGTATGAGGATCCCAATTAATCCTATTTGTACCTTTCACTTTGGTTGTATCAAAATCCATATCATGAACATTGACACTGTCCATTACCTATATTAAATCATGATAAGGAATAAAAAAACCTCTTAAATTTCAACCTACTGTTGAATAAATATAGACATCGGAATTTAGGAATACAAATAACAATCAATACCTTCAATAATAACAAAGAACAACAACAATAATTGATGAAGAAACTCAAGAATAATCACAGGGGCATGTTATCACAGGTTAATGGCAGTTTCTGGTACCAAAAAAAAAAAAAAAAAACACGTACACACAAACACAATCGTGAACAACATCCTTAAACAACAAAAGGCAATATAATCACAGCGGCATGGTGCATCACCGATTAAAAACAAAGAAAAAAACTAACCATGTTGCATCACCAATAAAAAAAAAAACAATCATGTTGCATCAAGAATGAAGAACAATCATTGGTTGCAGGGAAATATATCGTGAACAGCATCAGTGATCAAAATATATATATATATATATATATATATATATATATATATATATATATATATATATATATATATATATCTGATTGCAGCTAACGATAGCAGCAGAGAAAAAAAAAAAGATCAACAGCATAACTCATAGCTGATGGATTCAATCAAAAAAAAATTAACATCCTTGCAATAATGCAAGAATGATAGCAGCAAAGCAAAAAAAAAAAAAAAAAAAAAGATCAACATAACTCATGCTGATGGGTTCGATAAAAAAAAACATAAAATAACATCCTTGCAATAATGAAGAACGATAGCAGCAAAGGAAAAAAAAAAAAAAAAAAAAAAAAGATCAAGAACATACCTGCCGATGGTTCCAGGGACGATGGCCAAGGGAGAAAAGGTATCGGCAGCAACAATAGGTGAAGCAAATGATCGGTTTTGAAGGGTTTTAAGGGGTTTTATGTATAGTTTATTGAAGGGTAAATTAGTAATTTTTGAATCATTAAAAATAAGCAATAAGCAATAAGCATTGCTCCCATAGCTTATTAAAATCAGCTTATTTTGCTTATTCCTACCACAATAAGCTGATTTTTTAAGCATCCTATCCAAACACTTAAATTAGCTTATTGTGGTGAGAATAAGCAATAAGCTAATAAGCAGTTATTTTTTCCCTATCCAAACACCCCCTAATCTGAATGTATAATTGTTATAAGTTATAGCATGAAGGGCTTACAAGCCAAGCACAAAGCAAGTAAGCATGATCATCAACCTTTGCAACAAGAGATTTTTGGTCATTTCTTTTGTAAACAACCTTCCCATATTTGTTAAACAACCTTTCATTCTTCTTTTGCAGCCACAAAAAAACAAACAGTTTTGGTGAAATTACACGATATTAGATCTAAAAGAAGTGGAATTTTAAAAAGTATCAAAGGGCAACCACAGAACTCCTCGTGGTGATTGTATGAACCTGACCAACTTATAACTCATGTGGTTAAGTGGCACTGATTCTGAGAAATGATGAATAACAAAGTGGTCATTAGATTTAAGTTCTGTTAGTTTAACAAAAATGATGCATTAAACCCATGCTTTTATGATAGGTGATATCTTCAAAAAATGGCACCCGGTGGTATGCAAAGGAAACCACCAAATCTTAACAAAGAGGTTATGCAAGGTGTCATGGACTCCTTCAATAGATTTTCTAAAAATGAAGAGGAGGGACGATTGTTACGAGAGCAATTCGTAACATTTCACATGAAGAAAGGTATCTACTTAATGGCAGAAACACAAACGGATGCTTTGACAATGGATCCAACAGATTGGTGGTCAACCTATGGAGCCGAAACTCCGGATTTGGCCTTGTTGGCAAAGAAGGTACTTTCACAACCTATTAGTACCTCTTCCGCGGAAAGGAATTAGAGTACTTATTCTTATATTCATAATTTGAAAAGAAACTGGTTGAATGAAAAAAGAGCCGATAAATTGGTTTACATCCAGTCAAACATTCGACTCCTATCTCGTTTCCACGAATCATACAAATCCGGCCCACACAAAAAGTGGGACATCAATCCCGAAAGCACTTACATTGAAGGATCGAGTTCATGATTAGATGACATGGTTTGGGAGTTCTTAAATGAAGAAGATTTGGAGAATGGACAAGGAAAAAAGCAATGGGTTGATTGGCATGTTACATTTCAGTTTTTGTTGGTTTACCCTTCCTGTTTGTGTTTTTGAGTTATTACAAAACTGTTGCTGTTTTGAACTTTTGATTTCCAGCATGTAATCTGTTTTAATTTCTAGCATGTAATCTTTACAATATGTGTATTTTGCTGGAATTGTACTTCTAAATAAAATATGTTGCTTAAAATTATGTTTATACATAAATTATTGCTAAATATGTGTTCTAAAATCAGGTACACCGTATTGGGACCAATGGTACGCCGTACCGGACACGTACCGAAATGAACCTACCCCCCTCGTACCCGATACGCCAAACCTCATGAATCTCGTTCCCGTTCCCTATTCCCGTACCAGACTGTACCACGAACTATGTGACTATGTCTGAAACAACTCTATAGGCACCCTACTTACACATACATAAAATATACTTTTAAAAGACTAACAAATTATAGCATTGTACTTTAAAATTACGATGCATTAATAAGAAAAACAAGATTAAAAAAAAAAAAAAAAAAAAAAAGCTCAAAATGTTTTAAAATGTTTCTTTTATATAAACCTGTAATGGCACACAATGGTCTACAAACCATATTTTGAACATGTAAGGGATGAGTCCAATCACCCACCTGAAAACACAACCAAACAACAAAGTTGTATCTGTAATTTTTATGTTGTAAACGAATTTAAAAGTTCAAAGAACTTGAGAGTATTCAACGACTTTACATTGTGGATCACCATCAACAGTAAAAATATTTCTTTGAAAAATTCTAGGGCATACACGTTACATTCCATCTGAGCATGTAAAATAGTTGGTGTTAGACCAAGTTGCAGCACATAAAAAAAGTAATCAGCTACCAAAAAAATAAAAACAATAAGGAAAAATGTATACAATAAAAATTAAAATGAGAAAGAAACATCTAAATACTTAAAGGTCACTTTTGAACCTTAACACAATATTGAATGCCACAAGTCCCTGAATGTGTTTATGTGTACAAATATGTAGTCAAGAAAATATGCATTGAGAAGACCATATAAATAGTGTGCACAACCACACAAACAAGCTCATAAGTTTAAAATCGAAAGTTTAAAATTGAAAATATATGGAAACAAACTCATACCTGATTTCTATTAAGCAAAATATTGTTAATATTAGCTGGTAGAGAGTCAATTCAGGGAGATTTGAAGCCAAGGATGCAAATTGAAAAAAAAAAAAAAAAAAAAAAAAAAAAGGGTCTTGTAGAAACGTAGTCATCTTTCATCAATGAACTTCTAAAATAAAGATCTCAAATTCTCATACACAACTTTAATCAACGAAGCTTCTGAAATAAATATCTCATACCTGAATCAACATTATACAGGTCAGAATTCACCAAATCAGGATAGAAACATTCAAAGAACCTCATAATTAAAACAAAAGGTGAATGATATGTGAAGTTTAATCACCTTGTAAAGGAGCTCTAACACACTTCCAATTTAGATGATGAAATTGATGCTTGCAATGAGATGGTGGAAAATTGAATCGATATGGACAATGTTAATTATTTCGTGCTTATAAAAGGAACCGTGAAACAAAGTGATGCCGTAAAATGATTGTACCTTGATCTCGGCAGAGTAGGCGCAATACGACAGAGATGGCGCAACAGGGCAGATGTGATCATCTGGGCGGACGAAGGAGAGAAAAAGGATGAACGACGACATGATAAGGTTTGTGGTGTGGTTCGTCACGACTTAGGGTTAAGGGTTAAGGGTGTGTGACATTAGCGTTGATGGGGACGACGGGATAGGGTTAGGGTTTCTCGTCACGACAGAAGGTAGAAACGGCGCGACAAATAGGGTGGTGAAGGGTGGTAGCGGACAAGGTGGACTTTCAGGGTCGATCATCTAGTTGAGAGGGAAGAACAGGGTGTAGCGACGTCGTTACTTTATGGCATCAATTTGAGGTCTGGAAAATGCAGTTGCATTGACGATAAAAATTATCCAATAAACCAGAGGCTTAACAATCAGGAGTTTTATATCTGCACCCTTCACATCACTTGCAGTCGTTGCCAATGCCACAATAAGTAAACAAGATTTATTTTTTAAATGTAGAATATACTAATCTGAAAGTATAATTTTTATAAGTTTATAGCATGAAGGGCTTACAAGCCAAGCACTAAGTAAGTAAACATGATCATCAACCTCTGCAACAAGAGATTTTTGATTAAACAACCTTCCCATATTTGTTAAGCAAAGTCATAATACATGTCTTACGTATCATGACTTGTATTCTTCTTTTGCAGCCACAAAAAAACACAGTTTTGGTGAAATTACACGATATTATTATATCAAATAGAAGTGGAATTTAAAAAAGTATCAAAGGGCAACAACAGAACTCGTGGTATTTGTATTTTATAACTCATGTGGTTAAGTGGCACTGATTCTGACAAATGATGAATAAGAAAGTGTCGATTAGATTAAAAGATCTGTTAGTTAAGTTTTGTTAATTAAGACTTAAAACTAGATATTGGAGGGGTGAGCCAGGCCTTGGCAGTAGTGTAAGACCAAGGCGACTCGTGAAAAACCCCAGCAGCAAGCTACCGTAACGGGCCTTCCCCCATAAAAAATAAGATTAATATCGAGTGGGCCGATGGCCCACATATCAGATATTAAACTGATAAGAACAGATACTACACTTGATCTTAGCCAAAAGGCCGAGAAAGGTATGCTTGTTTAAGTCCATGGCTTCCCCTTTTATACACAGCCTTTCTCTTGGCTTCTTGCTTCTTTCATCCGATGTGGGATACAAAGCTGCGCATCATCCTTATTATTTATTGTACATTTCATCCAATCGTCTTCAATCCACAACATTCGTAACAGAATCAGCAAACCTATCCAAATCGTTACAAAACGCAGCAGTAAAATCGTCTTTCTTCACAATCCCTCCAAATTGCAACGAGATCAGCTAGCTACTAATCAACTCGAATCCAACAAAATTATCTATTTAAAATAGCTTGATAACTCATTTCTATAAACCACAGGCGTTAAGGCATCCATCACCAATGAATATTCAATATATGTATATATTCAGAACTCTCAATATTCTTTTTGGCTTCGTTGCTATCTCATAAACAGATCTCTTTTTCATTTTTTTGAAGTATCAAAAATTATGGTTTGTTATAGTCTACAAGTCTCTAATCGCTGAGGATCTAAATTAATAAAACTACAATCACTTTCAACCGATTAAAATTCAAGAGTGGTAAAAGATTTTTGGTTTTGGGTGCATTATTAAGAAAATTTTTCTTGCCATATATGCCCTTGGAATGTGTTCTTGAGAACCTTTTCATTGCCGGAATAACAAGTAGATCAGGGGTATGTATGCCTTTCAGGGCTGTGTTCACACAAGATCATCGAATGGAGAGTCACTTTGGAGTTGGATTCCTCAAATGGAAAAGGGTATTTTGGAGTTTTCACTACGTGGAAGAAAAATAAAAAATGTGAAATTGAGCAGCATCGGCATTTTGTTTTCTAGTTGATTAGATCATGGCTTGGTGTCTCTTATACTCAATTATACAACACAGAGGTCATTTAGCCCAAAGTTAAGCATTTGGAGTTTTTCATGTCAAACACAATACTTTTAAAATTATATTTTAACTTGAATTTGGAGGCCTCTAAATCTATGACGAAACAGCATGAAGTAACAAATTTGTGTTAATTGTTGATGCGTCGACAATATTTACAGAATTATATACCAAATAAAGATTATGAGAAGGATGATGATGATGTAGAAGATTCTGGAACCAATTCCAAAGAAGAAGGCATCGAGTCCATAGACGTGAATGAAATAAAGAATATGTCTAAAGATGAAAATCATGTAAATTCCAAATCTGCAACTTTCAGAGCTAAAATCTCCAAATCTGATATTGTTTCAAAAGGCATTGACAGTTATGTCCCCGAAGAAGAACAGATCAATTCGAGTTCCGTTTTATTAAATGAGAAAGATAAAGATCGACCACTTCCATCCCTTAAATCCCTCTTTGAAGTTTGAATCCATCAATGGTGTTCATGATAAAGATCAACACTCGTGTCAGGTTAGGACTCTCAACAGTTTCACGGTTCATTTGCTGCTTCCCGGAATCAGCAGGAATTGGAATCTCGAATTCCATTCCATGGTATGTTTGATTGCCAAACCAACGGACTTGAATTCCAGAGATTCCTTAAAACTCCGGAATCTTGGTCTAATCAACAATCCGACAAGTAATTAGCTTTGAGAAATTGACTTCGCTTTACAAAATAATTAGAAGAACACAAGCACATGAACATATGAAATTCATAGTCTGCAAAACAAACAACCATCTGCAATGAAAATACCGATCACAACGACACTTTTATATATCATCTTTGAAATTATAAAAAGCGTAAAAGTTGTGAAATACATTTAAGAAAGATAGAAATAAAATACAAGCTAATTAGTGGGAGTGATTTTTGAAGTTTTATATGATGTTTTAAATATATTTAATAGAATAGTCGACTAAACCTCCAAAAACGTATGTCGCTCCAATAGTTTTTTAATTTGAAGTTTTTTTTAATGGGTTAAAAATACCATAAATTGATATAGGTACTCATTTGGGATTAATGTTATAAACTAACTTTTCTATTTAAATCTGGGATGAAATTAGTACGATATCAATTCATTTTTCTAAACCGTAGTGCATCAACTATAATTGGTATAAAAAATTTCCAAAATAGACTAGTGTTACTACTTCACTGTTATTCGGTGTTAGAGTTGAAAAATATAAATTTAATTGAATTTTTAATACATTGTGAAAAAAAATCATGATCATGATGTCGAGTTTAGGTTATCTAGATTTGCGAAGTCTGAATCATCAAACATTAGTTTTTTATGTTTTAGAGATTGGCAAATGGTTTGCTTGGTTTGGATAAATGGAATCGCAAAAAATTGCAACGAACAACGGAATGGAATGAATAAGGGAATTGAATGAGCAAGATAACGAAATGTTGAAATGGAATGAATAGGGGAATGAGCAAGATAATGAAATGTTGAAATGGATGCATTGTGGATTGTCATGTTTGGTTGGTTGAAAAATGTAATGGATTATTCAAACATGTTATATTGTTTTTTGTTATGTATAAATAGAAAACTAACTAAGATAAAATTGATAAATAAATAAACTATATTTTATAAACATAAACTTTAATATAAGAAACATATATCATTAAATAAACTAAATCTAGCTATATTTTCTCTCCATATCTACCCAAATTTGTTATAGTATTTTTTTAATGACATTTTAATTTATAGCACCAATCTTAATGCACATTTAGAGCACTTGCAATGCGTGTTTCAATGTCTACAGGATAACCAGGGTCAAGAAATCTAAGTGTGTGTTTGGTGCCTCATCCTTTGAGTACTTAGGCCATATTATTTCAGGAAGAGGTGTCGAAATGGATCCTAATAAGGTGACAACTATAACCATGTGGCCCATACCCAAAACACAAAGACAAGTGCGTGGTATGTTGGGGCTTGCCGGCTACTATCGACGGTTTATCCGTGGCTATGCTACCATTGCCGCCCCTCGACTAATTTGCTCCAAAAAAGATGGGTTTAAATGGAATGAATGCGAGAATAGTGCTTTTGAACTCCTAAAACAAAAACTTGCGAGTGCACCGGTCCTTGGGCTACCAGATTTTAAAGAACAATTCTTGATAGAAATGGACGCCTCCGGGGAAGGAGTAGGGGTGGTCTTATTGCAAAAGGGACGACGGATTTGTTATTTTAGTTGAAAATTGGGACTTCATATGAAAATGGCAGCCAAATATCAAAAGGAATTGCACGCGATTGTTGAGGCAATATATAAGTGGAGACAATATCTCATCGGGAGAAGGTTTGTAATTCGGACAAATCATAATAGTATAAAAGAATTGAAGCACCAAGTAATCCAAACCCCAATACAGCAACAATGCGTTCGTAAGCTCTTGGGATTTGACATCGAAATTGAGTATAAACCCGGGGTTGCAAACGCAGCAGCTGATGTGTTATCCTGACTTCACGAGGAAGGAGAAATGGTACTAGCAGCATTCATGGCCATCAGTCGTCCGATCAGTGGGTTACTAGAAAAGTTACATGGTGATGTGACATCCCCAAAATCTTGGCCATAAAATACCGATTTTCATTTATGCTTTTAAAATAATTTCAGAGTAAATCCTTTTGATTTGAAAGAGTTGCGGAATTTGTTCCCAAAAACAAAACATGATAAAACAATGTTTACCAAAGCATTTCATAAAAGAAATGTGTTTTTCATTATATAATCAAAACTCGGGGTGTCATGTTCCGATACAGACCAATAAGCATAAACGATAACATTACAAGTCATTCAACAAATATATACATATACAGACTTGTAAACAAAACAACTTGATGGTTCATCCATCTTACGCCCTTGCGCCACTTCCTGTAATACAAATAAAACTGAGTGGGTCAGGCTTAGGAGCCTGGTGAGCATATAGGGTTTTCAACCCACAATAAATAATTAAATTAATTATTATCAACCAACAATAACCCAGTTACCCATTCCCGTTTATTCTCACTTTATGTCCCTAAAATAACTAACACAAGGGACCTAATCTAAGAATATTTTCATCGGGGTGACAACACATGCTGCGGGGTTCCTCAGCAATATAAGTCAAATAAGGCAACCATGAGGGGGATGGAATACACGAATGAACACCCAAGTTCATTAACACCTACAGGTTATGAGCCTGCTAGCGTTCCACTAGACTGTCTATAAAAGTGTGGTCGTCATCTAAATTCCGCTAGATGACTGGATCAAAACAACAACGAGGCCTCTCATCTGTTTATT